TTGCAGTGTCGTTATGGGATATTAGCAGGGACTGGTGGCCTAACCAGCCAATCAATGCCATCTGCTGGATCTCAGAAGAAATGTAATTGTTCAGATCCGAAGCTGTGCCTCCAGGTTAGTGGTCTCTATGTCCTTGGAAATAAACAAAGAGCTAAAATAAATATTATATTTGTGTTACATGCACTTAGCCTCATACAGTTATTTTTTACTTAAAACAAGACTATGTTCTGGCAAAACTCTTACGCAACTGGAGAGTGTGAAGCGTGGGCTTACATTAGTGTTTGTGGGCATCTTCAGAGCCAGCTCGGTCCAGTTTGTGGCCTCAGATATGTTTCCCAAATCCTTGTGACACTACGAGCCAAACAACATGATGATTAGTTTTAGCCCTCAAAATCATAAGAGTTTTCCTTCTTTTTTCTATTTGTGATAAAAGTTGTTTTGAACTGCTGTTTTCCTTATTCTTTGAACCATACAAAACAATAATCGGAGTCACTGACTGAGGTGTGGGTTTTACCTAAGCCATTTTTATAGCCTGGATTGATTTAGAGCCACGAGTTTGAATCATGTAAAGCCATGCTGCATTAACAGCTAGCAATTCCTGACTGAACTGTAACCATGGAAACAGGCTAATCATTTTGTTTATTATGATACTGAAGAAAATGTGTCAATCTGAACCCAAACTATTTTCTCTAGATTAACTAGATTTATGAACATTTGTTTTAGAGGGGCAGTGGAGATACTGCTATTAGTAAAATAAGTCACACTTCTGAAATCAGTGTGTGTTAAGAAGAGGTTTCATTGTGTTAATCATGTTTAGATGGTCAATATTTTACTGTGTACTTAATCACACAACAAACAGCTCCAGAATAAATCACCTAACACTCAACATGGCACTCTGTATCAGCAGTCATTCCATAAACTGTGCTGCCTGACTGTACTGTATATAATCACTGTTAAATGATGCTATGGGATCACTGGAACTGACTGTTTACCTTTGCAATGTAAAGTCTCACTGTCTTGGAGAAACCTGGACTGAGGTCCTCTGCCTGAAAGTTCATACAGCACAAAAACAAAGATTTAATGTACACATTCCGTTTTTCAAATACATTCATGTACAAAATAAAACACCCATTAACAGTGAAGACCAACTGACCGCAAAGCCAAGTACACTTTCCCTTTGCACTGTGGGTAAGGGGCTCCTGGTGATTTAGTATTTAAAGACAAATAACTGGTCTGGTTTGGCTCAGCAACCAAACAGGACAGGTACAGACTTCAGCGGACAGTCAGGACTGCAGAAAAGGTCATTGGTGTGAGCCTGCCCTCCATGGAGGACCTGTACACCTCACGGGTCAAAAGGAGGGCAGAGAGGATCACTGCAGACCCCTCACACCCTAGACACAAACTGTTTGAACTCCTCCCCTCTGGATGGCACTATCAGAAAGCTCTTTTTCTGCCACAATATATGTATATATTTATAAATATACTGTTAAAAAAAATTAAAAGAACACTTAATCACACATCCGAGCTTGATGAACGAATTATTCAAGATGAAAACCTTTACTAACACTGTATAATTTGTTCAGGACAAAATAACTTAACAATGGTCAATGGAAACCAATTCTATAGTGTACTCGCAGTGAACCTCCTGTTCCTCCTTAAACAAAGGAGCAGATGCTGGTCCTGCTGCTGAGTTGTTGCCCTTCTACAGCCCTGTCCAGCTTTCCTGGTGTAATGGCCGGTCTCCTGGTATCTCCTCCGTGCTCTGTGCTCCGAGACTGTGCTGGGAGACACAGCAAACCTTCTTGTGACTGCCCATATAGATGCGCCATCCTGGAATAACTGGACTACCTGTGCAACCTGATTGGGCTACAGGTACTGGCTCATGCTACCAGTAATGACAAGGACATGAGAAAAACACAAAACCTAAGAATCCATCAGTAAGGATCAGGAGAGATCATCTGTCTGTGGCCACTATATGCCAAACCACTGCCTTTTCGGGTGGTTGTCTTGGTTTTCCTCTTCATTGCACCTGCTGTCACTTTCATTTGCACCAAAGCAGGTGAAAGAGATTCACCATCACTTGCTAAATGGACAAATTGATATCCCTGATGTTTAACTGACTTGGTGTGAAACTGATTAAGTGTTCCCTTAATTTTGAGCAGTTTAGATTGTTTTTGTCTCTTTTTTTCACCCCTATTTAAAATGCACGTGTTTCTTGTTGCCTTACAAAGCATATTGACAGCCACTGTACTGGAGTCAAGTTCAAATCTGATTGAGTGTTGAAGCAAGTTGTATGTTGCTTATTTCCACAGTGTATACTAATGATAAGGTTGACACACCCACAACAATAAACAAGAAGATGCAGAGATGAAATCATGAACCTCTGGATGGTCATCTTGCAGCTGAAACTGGATGTACAGAATTAAACTGATACACATTCAGGTCTGTATATTGCGTCGATATTGTATCATGCAGAATTAGGACATTTCTAATCCTCCTTTGTTTATTCTGGTTGGTTTTTCCCCTGTAGTACAGTTTGTTGGGCTGAATACAACAAAGGTACTGCCGATCAAAACAACTGCCCAGAAACCCATTAGAGATGGTGGACTGACTCACAGAGAAATTTCAGAGCAGTTCATTTGTGCTGGGAACATGTTTTGCCTTCAATCTGACCCAACTACAAGGTGCACTTTGCAAGTCTGATCTAAATAGCTTCCATAGCTTGGTGCACTTTGCATACTGTAATGGAATGAGCAAAGTCAACAGTTGCTAGCAGCTAGCCAGAGAATGTGTTGTCCTGAAATAACAATTATGTTACCTTCCTGATATTTTGGCAGACAGAAAATTCTTTATGAATTTGTTCCTGTTTTATGTTCTTGTTCCCACCACCACACACATATAACCAGTGTGAGGAGAGAATTTTTGCATCTATACTAGTGATGCATTACAGTTCGCTTGAAATTTTCCTGGAAAATACAAATTAAAAACTCAGCCTCTGTCTTGGACCAGAACAAACTAACTATACTGTAGATTTGAAAATGTCCTTAAGGCCAATTCAGCCTTTCTGCATACCCTCATGTGAATGGCCTACTCATGGACATGCACACAGAGTCCTTGCAGACCCTCACGGACTTGGGAAGATAATGAAATTTGTCACTGGAACATAGCTGACATGTGGATGTGAAAAGTATGAATTGGCCTTTGGACTGAAGCAGCAGAAGGCTGTGGGAGTCTACCTTGAGGAAGTTCTCAAGGGCATCATGTAGTGTGGCAAAGGGGGGACTCTGGTAGATGGCAGCAGCTGCCTTCTTTTCCAACCAATCCAGAGTAGCCACCTGTAAAGATACAAACAATCCAATGAAACAAACATTTTGGTCATGATTGTTCACAGCATGAACATTTGGACGATAAAATCTGCATTTGATAAGAACAGTAAACAGTAACAGCACAAGAGATCCCCCATCTCACCTCATAACACCATTTACCAAGAAGGTAGAAACACATGGGGTCATCATCTCTGAGGGCGACTGCATGGTCCAGATGCTCCTGGATGGAGACAAGATTACAGTCAGGTTCTCTACACAAGTCTAAGGATTAGAAATAAATCTAATCTGACTTTAAACATTAGCTAAATATATATTTGACATAAAGCTGGTGTGCCTGTGATACCTTTAAGATGTGGCTGCTCTTCAGTTTGCCATGCATGCTGTCGTGCTGAGTGGTCAGTCCTGTCAGCACAGCAAACCTGGAACCAAAAACACAGGACAATTGTGACATCAAATAAACCCAATGGTCACCACTGGGAGCAATATCTATGCTGAGTTAAAACCCAAAATGTTTAAAATAAAATAAAATAAAAGTTCAGTGACCCTTGTATTCATCATTTTACCATTTGTGACACTCGGCAT